TTTGAGGCACTTGATACATAATGAACATGAATATCAACCAAGACCATTTAAAATTACTCAAAATAGCTCAAATATGGAAGTAAATTTATAATTTTCTTAAATGAAAGTAAGATTGCCGGTGATGCATCTCAAAATTTCAAATGTAACCAGACAAAACTGAAAAAAAATCTGCAAATTTGAGGCACTTGATACATAATGAACATGAATATCAACCAAGACCATTTAAAATTACTCAAAATAGTTCAAATATGGAAGTAAATTTTTAATTTTCTTAAATGACAGAAAGATTACCCGTGATCAATCTCAAAATTTCAACTGCAACCACAGAAAACTGAAGAGAAAGTAGCATACAGTATTTGAGACACTTGATAAATAATGAATAGAAATATAATCTAATACCATTTGCAATTACTCAAAATATTATGAATATGGATGTAAATGCATAACATTCTAGATAGTAAAGACAGTCATATTAAAAGTGATCAATATCCAAATTCAACTGCAAACAGAGCAAAGTGACTTTTACACATTTTATACACTTGCTTGGCAGCACATAGTTTATACATAACTACTGAACATGGATGTGAAAGGTATTTTGACAAACTAACTCTTCAAACAAAAGCTCTCATAACTTATTCTTGGTCTACAAATGAGAAAATAAAAGCAACCCAGTGTGATGACAGCATTAGGTTCAGGGGTTCCAGAAGAGTGTTAAAGTCATCATGAGATGTGTTGAAAGATTAGTGGTGGTAAGATTGGCATGGCAAATGATTGCCAGATTATTACACAATATTTCATTTTTTAATCCCAACAAGAAATGTCAAGGCAAGCAACACTGATGTGAGGCTGGAGTGACAGTATCCATTATGAAGAGTTCCTTGAAGCCAGCATCCAGTTATTTTGGAAACTCATGTGAGAATGTCTTTGAAATAAAATAAGGTCAATCATATTTTATAATCCTTTTCAAGCATACATTTTTTGAGAAGTACAAAAGCAAAAAATGTAAACTGAAATTGAACTCAATCCAACTAAAATTTAACATGCTTGACTTTAAAATAATAATATCAGTACTGTATATTATAAATCAGTAATTTATGTAGGATGGAAAATTGAAAATTTGAATTAACAATGTTTTTATTTCATGCACTTCAAAATGGAAGCTTTTCCCCATTATATTAAATATCAAACCTGTTTTTTG